AAACCTAAGGAGCAAATAGTAATTATTCCAGATCAGCAGATTGGGATCTGTGGTCTGAGAAAGCTCCTCATCAGCAGTGGCCTGGGCAGGTTCAGACTGTTACAGGCCTAGGAAAGCCTGGAGCAGTCCAGAGGAGTTGCTGATGGTGAAAAGACAGACATGCTGAAACCAGGGCTGACTTGGATCCAAATCCATCTTTAATCTGAAATCAGCTTTAGCATAAGATAAAAACCAGTTCAGCTGTGTGTGCTCAGGGCTGAGGCTCCATCCAGCAGTGTCCCAGCCCTTCCCTGGCTGCTCAGGGAGAGTCCATGCACATCACTGTCACAGGAAGCAGTTACAAAAAAGTTACCATATTTGCCTGTATTACATGCTCTAACATTCTGTTCTAGCTAATCACTGAGATAGAGAACATGAGGCACAGAATCATTGAGATCCACCAGGAGATATTTAACCACAACGAACATGAAGTCAGTAAGAGGTGGACGTTTGAGGAAGCGGTAAGTGAGCTTTGTGCGAGACAACACGAGCCAAGTGGTTTGGAAACAGGACTGGGAACTGGGAATTTCCTGAAACAGCCTTAACTGAAACTGTTGGGGGACTTTGAACTGAGATTCCAAGCTGAAACAGTTGCACTTGTTCGCTGTTTTTCTTGTGAAGAGGCACCTGGCACGTGATGCTGTAAAGATCTGTGAGCAGTGTTTGGAGGGATGCAAGGTGTGCTGTGCTGTTTGCTAAGGCAGTGAGCACGGACTCACAGTTAGTGCTGCCTCCTGCATCTGGGGTGGTGCAAAGGCCTGAGGGGATGGAGGGCATTCCCTTGGAAAGGTAAGCCTGGCTCAAAGGAGGATGAATTCATGTGGTTTTGTATCTTAACATTACACACTTAATCTGGTAACTTTTGTTTTGGACCTCCTGTGCATAAGGTATTAAAAGTAATTAATTAAACTAATCAGTTGATCACTGCAAATATATGACTTTTGCTGTACAATTAAGTTGGATTACATTTGAAAAAAAAAACAGCCTGAGGTTTTCAATCTCAGTCTTTATATTTCTCTTCCTGACAATCATGGTCCTTGTTTTAAATTTACTTCTTATTTTAAAGAGTCCATTGTGTTACYCAACTGGGACAGATTTTCAGGGACTCTTCAATGAGTTGGGTGATGTTATTATTGCACTGGGTTGGACTGGGACTGGTGCCTTGACAGCCTCAGGATCACACAGACAGGGTGGGCAGCCTTTATCAATGAGCTCTGTACCAGTGAGCTGTGTCAGGAGGAGCAGAGCAGGCAGAGTGTCCCAGGTTCCTGCCTTGGAAAGCCTTAAGCTGCAAATTTATGGGACTTGGGAGAATACTGGAACAGGGGCATCGGGCAGGAAAGGTATGAAACCCTGTCCTCTTGCTACCAGAGACATTATCTGCTCTGTAGCACCAGCAGGCTGCGCCTGGGAGGAGCTGGAAATTTAAAATTCAGCCTGACTATAAAGGACAGCACTGAGGTGGGTGGACACAGATCCCACCCAGAGTTTGGGGATTGCTTAGACCTGTTTTTAGCAGGAATGTGACTGAGATGTTCAAAATGGCAACAGAGGGTTGAGTTCCATAGCAGAGGTCAGTGAGGAACATGGAGCAGGGATTGGCTTTCAATTCCAGGTGGTTTGGAAGAATTGGATGTTTCTCCTTAATTACTGTAAGTTCTTCATCCATTGTATGGGTTTGGATCTGTGAGGGAATTGCAGCACAGGAAAGACATAACCAAATACAATTAAAGATGGTGAGGAGAAGCCAAGGGTTCCTGGCAGGACACCAGGCAAAGCAATTTCAATTTAAACAGAGCAATGTTTAATTTTCTGATCAATTTTAATTTTCAGTGCTGAGCTCTGTCCCACTTTTGCAGCCATCAGTAACAACATGATGGTGCTACATTCATGGTCTTGCTATAACCAGCTTGATGTAAACATTGAATAGAAGTCCAGTTCAATATTCTGTCTTTCCTTGTCATGATTCTCAGCCAAATTCTGAGTTGAATATTTGTCTGGATGTGCCACAATGAGCACTTCACTTGTGTGGATGGATATGGGTAATGCCCAGTGTGTCCATCATGTCACTGACAGGGCTGCCTTGGGTCCTTCCCCAGCAACTCAAAAAGCTTTCTAGGAAAATAAGTTCCTGGCCTGGAGTCTCACTGCAGTAAATCCATTGATCCATACCTGGGGAACCCTGMTTTGAGCAGATGAGGCATCACTGAAATGGCAGTAATTGTACATTGACTGTGTGACTGTTGATTGTTTGAACCCCCTTGGTGTGTTTGTATTCACCAGTTGCATCCTGTGACTCTTGCAGATCAAGAGGCCTTACTTTCATGTAAAACCTCTGGAGAAAATTCAGCTGAAAAACTGGAAAGAGTACTTAGAGTTTGAGATAGAGAATGGCACTCACGAGCGAGTTGTGGTCCTCTTTGAGAGATGTGTCATTTCATGTGCCCTCTATGAGGACTTCTGGATCAAGGTAAGGGAGGCAGCTCGCAGCCCTGCTGGTGCACACCTTGACCTGGTGACTAACCCTTGTACCCTGTGGAACGTTGTTCATCTATAACTATATCTGTTGCATTAGGAGATGGTCTGCTTGCAACCAGATTTGACTGCTGCATTTGCCAACTGCGTTGCCTCTCTACGTCCTTCCTTACAGAAACTAGTCTAGTGGTTCCATAAAGGTGCTGAATGGGTTTAAACAAAAGAATTTTATCGTTCTGGCATGTTCTTAGAGACAAATACAAGCTTTAACCTGGCTGGTCTCTGCTCTGTTTCCAACCCTAGTATGCCAAATACATGGAGAACCACAGCATCGAGGGCGTGAGGCACGTGTACAGCAGGGCCTGCACCATCCACCTGCCCAAGAAGCCCATGGTGCACATGCTGTGGGCAGCCTTCGAGGAGCAGCAGGGTAAGGACAGCCTGGCCTCGGGGAGGGCTCTGCTGGGGCAGCTCTGGCATCTCCCCAGTCCTAAAGCATCTCCCTGCTGTTGCAGGCAACATTGATGAAGCCAGAAGGATCCTGAAGACATTTGAGGAGTGCATCCTGGGGCTGGCCATGATCCGCCTGCGCAGGGTGAGCCTGGAGCGCCGGCACGGCAACATGGAGGAGGCAGAGCAGCTGCTGGAAGATGCTGTCAGGAATGCCAAATCCATCAGTGAAGCCTCCTTCTATGCCATCAAACTCGCCAGGCACCTCTTCAAAGTGCAGAAAAACCTGCCAAAGGCAAGAAAAGTGCTGTCAGAAGCCATAGAACTGGACAAAGTATGTGTTCCCTCTTGGCTGTCTTACCCAAAACTCAAACCATCCTGGTGTCTTTTCTCTCTTTCTGAAGCATTTTGTAAAAYATGGCAACAGTGATGACCTGAGTTGTAACTGGATGTAATGTCCCATTATGCATGGAGACAACAGTCCCTCTAAACTGATGTTGCCAAGGTCCCAGCTTGGAAATCTGGAAGTTTGCACTCTCTTTTCCCATCAGAAGCACAATGTGCTTTACACCTTCATTTTCCTTTTTAGAATCCTAAATGTTCTCAGTGTGTTCAGTGTTATTGGTGTGTGCAGTACCTGGTGGCTTGCTGTCAGCACAGAAATATCTGGCAYTCAAATGCTGCCAGCAAAGTGCAGCCCCTGACTTTGTGGTGTTGGTCACTTCTGGTCTGTTTGTGCAACAAATCAGCCCAGGGAAAAGAATCCCTTTAGTGCCTGTTGCTGTGTGTATTTACGGGGTGAACTGTGGTGTTTAACAGAGTTAAATTCCTGCTGTGAGAGGTCAGGTGTGCACCTCCTAATGCCTGTTTTGCACAGGAAAACACCAAACTGTACCTGAACCTGCTGGAGATGGAGTACAGTGGTGACCTCAAGCAGAACGAGGACAACATCCTGAGCTGCTTTGACAAGGCTGTCCATGGGGCYTTGTCCATTAAAATGAGGATCACCTTCTCACAGAGAAAAGTGGAATTCCTGGAAGATTTTGGGTCTGATGTGAACAAGTAAGATGTCCTGTGGGYAATGGCCAAACTGGGGTCCCTGAGAGCTGGGAAAGGGTGGGGTCAGTGCCTTCTGTGGAATTGTTACCTTTGTGCCATCAGCTCTCCACTAAGGAACAGCTGCTTTTCTAAAGCAACCTCCTGGTGTTAAACAGGATTAGATTTTTAAACAGGATTAGATTTTTAAACAGGATTAGATTTTTAAATAGGAATCTCTCTCCAGATAATTATCCCTTTTTATCTGGAATGCCCAACACCTCACTGAGGCAGAGCTTTGCCAGGTTTTCCTGTGGTTTCTCCTTGCTTTCCAAAGGAATGGGACATGTCTGTGACACAGATGTCCTTTAGGCTTTTCCCTGGAGCTGCTGCTTGAGGTTTCCCAGACTACACTGGAAATTGGATTATTCAGTGTTCAGCACTGTTAACAACTGTGCACTTATGTGGGAGGATATACCAGAAATGCAAGATTTGAATTCAATACTGCAATATTTTTTTCCTCTTAATTGTCTATTGTTTTTATTTACATTTTGCAGCTAAATAACCCGGAAGGATTAATGACAAGTCAGTTTTTCTGCTTTGTATGTTTTTAACAATAGCTATCCTTAAATTCTGCTGCCTCTGCATGGCAGCCAGTCAGTGCAAGTTTGGGATCTAGACAGATCAAACACAAGGAATTTTGCAGTTCCCAAATAATCCCARAGCACAGAATGAGTACGAGGAGCTCTTTTTACCCAGAGCACACTGACAGAAGCTGCACATTTTGTGAGATGCTGCCAATAAAAGGGTATTACAATAGTTGTGGGAATTTTAGCCAGGATTCTTGTGCTGCATTAACCATTCTTGTTCTTCCCCTTCTGTTGGATGGGGAAAGGCTGCAGGTGCTTATTTTGGGATTGTAATAATTYCCAATATTTACATATTGATCCCCACATCTCTGTGCTGCTGTGGGTGGCATCACCAGCAGGCACTGAAGGGATGCCTGATTAACAAATAACTTCTAGAAAGAGTTCTTTATAAAGAACTTGATAAAAACTGCCTCAAGTGTGAAGGAAGTTCAGAAGGTTGGGGATTGGAGCTGTTGTGGAATAGAACTAAATTGGCTTTCCCGTTTGTGGTGGGTCTCTCATTAAAATTTATTACATTGTAGTTTGCTGTATTTTTACAATTTCAAGTAGGCATTGTTGAGGTGTTTAAAATATTTGCAAGGCTTGACTGGTTGTGCTGTCCCCAGGCTCCTGGATGCCTACGATGAACACCAGGCACTGCTGAAGGAGCAGGAGACGCTGAAGCGGCGGGCGGAGAACGGGTATGGCCAGGGCTGGGGCAGAGCTGGGGGTTCTTTACTTTAGAATGCATTGTACAGGTATTTGTCAGCTTTGAACCTGCTGATGTGAGAGTAGAATCACTTTATTTTAGTCCTTTCTAGTGTGTASTAAACAGAGCTGTGCTGCTGCCTTATATATCCATAGAAGGTTCACGTGGGAAGGGCCTTAAAGCCAATCTCATCCCACCCCCTACCATGGACCTTCCATAGACCAGGTTGCTCAGAGCTCCCATCCAGCCTGCCCTTGGACACTTCCAGGGGTGGAAACCTTTTTGGAAAGTACCTTTTTGAGTTGTGTATCACAAAAAAGCCAAACAGTGCTGGTAAACTGAGTCTCTGAGCAGAAAGGTGCCTTTGCTGTCTCTGGGCACCAGATCTAAGCCCAGCCTGTTCTGAAGCAAAAACTGTCCTTCCCCCCCAAATTCCCTCACCCTGCTGGGCCTGGACACCCTGATGTGACATCCCTCACACAAGGACATGGCCAGCATTTCCCCAAGGTACCAACACGGGGTTCTGTTCCCTCCCAGCTCCGAGGAGCCGGATGAGAAGAAGCTGCTGACAGAGGACCCAAGCCTGGCATCAGCACAGCTCATGGA